GGGCGTTCCCGGCACTTGTGGGGGGAGGCCCGGGCGGGAGGCTCGCTGGAGGAGGTCAGGAGTCGGAGGCCGGGGCCTCTGAGCAAGAGCGAGACGACCCCCCGTCTCTACTGAAAAACGTAGAAAGAAATTAATTAGCCGGACAACTAAAAAAAAAAAAAAACATGTAGAAAAAAATGGGCCTGTAGTGATGGCTACTGGGGAGGGAGGCCGAGGCGGGAGGATCGCTTGAGGAGGCCAGGAGGTGGAGGCCAGCCTGAGCAAGAGCGAGACCCCCGTCTCTACTTAAAAAAAAATCAGAAAGGAATGAGCTGGAAAAGTAAAAATATGTAGAAAAAAAGGAGCCGGGCGTGGAGGCGCACGTGCCTGTCATCCCAGCTACTCGGGAGGGAGGCCGAGGAGGGAGGCTCGCTCGAGGTCAGGAGGTCGAGGCCAGCCTGAGCAAGAGCGAGACCCCCGTCTCTACTTAAAAAAATAAGAAAGAAATGAGCTGGAAAAGTAAAAATATATAGAGAGAAACGAGCCGGGCGCGGTGGCGCGCGCCTGTTAGTCCCAGCTACTCGGGAGGGAGGCTCGCTCGAGGTCAGGAGGTGGAGGCCGGCCTGAGCAAGAGCGAGACCCCCGTCTCTACTTAAAAAAATAAGAAAGAAATGAGCTGGGAAAAGTAAAAATATATAGAGAGAAACGAGCCGGGCGCGGTGGCGCGCGCCTGTTAGTCCCAGCTACTCGGGAGGGAGGCCGAGGAGGGAGGCTCGCTCGAGGTCAGGAGGTCGAGGCCAGCCTGAGCAAGAGCGAGACCCCCGTCTCTACTTAAAAAAATAAGAAAGAAATGAGCTGGAAAAGTAAAAATATATAGAGAGAAACGAGCCGGGCGCGGTGGCGCGCGCCTGTTAGTCCCAGCTCCCTCCGGGAGGAGGGAGGCGGAGGCCGGCTGCGAGCCGGGGGAGCGGGAGGCCGGCCGGGGCTGAGCAGACAAACGAAGTGAGAGCGGGTCTGTCGGTCGCAGACGAAGGAGCGGAGGACAGTGTCCTGGTGGACTCACGCACGAATCTGGACAGGCGCAGACGGAGGCCCGCGGGGAGGAGGCCGAGAGGAGAGGGCGGAGGAGAAGGAGGCTGAGAGGACGGAGGCGCGGAGACGCCGCCTTCGCGAGGAGGACCTGCCCTCCCCAGCACCGGCGAGGAGCTGGTGCCGGGGGCGCGCGGGCCGCCGGGGTGGGGGACCGGCGCGGGGACCACGGTGTTCCTGACTCGGTCGTCTCCCTTCCCTCCCTCCCTCCATTTTGCCTTTTGTCGTTCTTCTCTCTTTTCTTTTTCTCTCTCTTTTTTTTTTCTTTTTCTTCTTTGTTTTTTGTTCTTCCTCTTTTTTTTGTTCTTGGTTTTTCTTTTCTCTCTTTTCTTTGCTTCTCCTGTTTCTTCTCTCTTTTCTCTCTTTCTGTTTTCTCTTTTCTTTTCTTCTTCTCTTTTTGTCCTCCTTTTCCGTCTTCTCTCTCGTTCCTTTTTTTCTTTCTTCTCTTCTTTTCTCCTGTTGCTTTTTCTTGTCCTCCTCTTCTCCTCCCTCTCTTCTGTTTTTTTTTCCTTGTCTTTCTTACTCTTCTCTTTCTTACTCTGACTTCTTCTTCTCTTTTTTTGCCTTCCCTTCCTGCTTTTTTGTCTTCTTCTTCTCTTTTCTTCTTTCTTCTCCTTTTCTACTGTTATTTCTGTTTCTTTTCTTCTCTTTTTTCTTTCTTTTTTCTTTCTTTTCCTCTATCTTTTTCCTTTTTCTTTTCTCTTTTTTCTCTTTTCTTTCTCATTTTCTTTTCTTCTCTTTTTCTCTTTTCTGTTTTCTTGTTTTCTTTTTCTTCTCTTTTTTCTCTACGTGTATTTCTCTTTTCTTCTCTTCCTTTTTTCTCTCTTCTTTTTTCTTCTGTTTATTTCTCTTTTTTCTTCTTTTCCTTTCTCTTTCTTTTTTTCTCTTTCCTTCTCTCTTTCTCTTTCTTTCTTTTCTTTCTTCTTGTCTTTTCTTTGCTTTTTCCTTTCTCTTATTTTCTTTCTCTTTTCTTTTTTCTTCTCTTCCTTTTTTCTTCTTTTTTCTTCCTCTTTCCCGGACCCCCGCATCTTTCCTTTCTTTTTTCTGTCTTTCTTTCTTCCTTTCTCTTATTTTTCCTTCTCTTCTTTTTTCTTTCTCTTTCCTTTTTTCTTCTTTTTTTTCATATTTTCTCTTCTTTTTTCTTTATTTTTTCTCCTCTTTCCTTCTTTTTTCTTCTCTTTCCTTCTTTCTTCTTGTTTTTTCTTTCGTCTTTCCTTTCTTTTTCTTTTTTCTTTTTTCTTCTCTTTCCTTCTTTTTTTCTTTTTTCCTTTTTTCTCTTCTCCTTTCCTCTCTCTTTTCTTTTTCTTCTTTTTTTATCTATTTCTTCTTTTTTCTTTTTCTTTTTTCTTCCTGTCTTTCTTCTCTCTTTCCTTCTCTTATTTTCGTTTCTTTCCTTTCTCCTTCCTCCGTACGCCCGTCCGCGTGTCCGCAGGGTGGACTAGCGTGGACGGCGCTGGGGCGCTCGCCGCTGCTGCGGGCCGACCTGCCGGGGCTTTGCTGCGTCTGGACCAGGGAGCTGCGCGGGGCCGCGGTGAAGTCGCGGGGCGGCCTCGCAGCCTCCCGGAACGAGGAAGGTTTTGGGGGGAGAAGGGGCCGGTTTAGAGGCCAGTTTTTCGGGGAGAGGCCTGATTTTGAGGGAGAGCTGGTTTTGGGGAGAGGCTGGTTTAGAGGCCGGTTTGGGGGAGAGGCAGGTTTTGGGGGAGAGGGGTTTTGGGGCCCAGAGGCAGCTGGTTTAGTAGGCGCGTTTTCGGCGGAAGAGGCGTTTGGGGGGAGAGGCCCGTTTTGGGGTGAGAGAGAGGCCCCGGTTTTCGGGGAGAGGAGGCCGGTTTTGGGGGAAAGAGGCTGGTTTAGAGGGGTTTCCGGGGAGAGGCTGGTTTTCCAAGGGAGAGCCTGGTTTAGAGGGCCCCAAGTTTTTCAAGGGAGAGGCCGGTATTTTGGGAGAGGGCTGGTTTAGAGGAGGTTTTGGGGAGAGGGCTGATTTTGGGGCAGAGGCTGGTTTAGAGGCTGATTTGGGGGCAGAGGCTGGTTTAGAGGCCGGTTTTCGGGGAGAGGCCGGTTTGGGGGGAGAGGCCGGTTTTGGGGTGAGAGGCCGGTTTCGGGGGAGAGGCCGGTTTTGGGGGGAGAGGCTGGTTTAGAGGCCGGTTTCCGGGGAGAGGCTGGTTTTCAGGGAGAGGCTGGTTTAGAGGCCAGTTTTCAAGGGAGAGGCCGGTTTTTGGGGAGAGGCTGGTTTAGAGGCCGGTTTTGGGGGAGAGGCTGATTTTGGGGCAGAGGCTGGTTTAGAGGCTGATTTGGGGGCAGAGGCTGGTTTAGAGGCCGGTTTTCGGGGAGAGGCCGGTTTGGGGGGAGAGGCCGGTTTTGGGGTGAGAGGCCGGTTTCGGGGGAGAGGCCGGTTTTGGGGGGAGA